CTTCTGCTGTGTGACATCTCCAGATCAGAGCACTGAATGTGATGTGCCAACAAGAGCACAGATCTCAGCTCTGCTTTACTGTAATTCATAGAACCTGTTGGTTGGGTTGGGTTGGGTTGAGTTGGGTTGGGTTGGGTTGGGTTGGGTTGGGTTGGATTGGGTTGGGTTGGGTTGGGTTGGGTTGGGTTGGGTTGGGTTGGATTGAGTTGGGTTGGGTTGGGTTAGGTTGGGTTGAGTTGGATTAGGTTGGGTTGGGTTGGGTTGGATTAGGTTGGGTTGAGTTGGGTTGGGTTGGGTTGGATTGGGTTGGGTTGGATTGAGTTGGGTTGGGTTGGATTGAGTTGGGTTGGGTTGGATTGAGTTGGGTTGGGTTGGGTTGGGTTGGATTGAGTTGGGTTGGGTTGGGTTAGGTTGGGTTGAGTTGGATTAGGTTGGGTTGGGTTGGGTTGGATTGAGTTGGGTTGGGTTGGGTTAGGTTGGGTTGAGTTGGATTAGGTTGGGTTGGGTTGGGTTGGGTTGGGTTGGGTTGAGTTGGGTTGGGTTGGGTTGGGTTGGGTTGAGTTGGGTTAGGTTAGGTTGGGTTGGGTTGGGTTAGGTTGGGTTGGGTTGGGTTGGGTTGGGTTGAGTTGGGTTGGGTTGAGTTGGGTTGGGTTGGGTTGGGTTGAGTTGGGTTAGGTTGGGTTGAGTTGGGTTGGGTTGGGTTGGGTTGGGTTGGGTTGGGTTGGGTTGGAAGGCAGCTTTGAGCATCACCTGGTTCACCTGAAGATAACCACCTTCCAGCAGGACCCAGGAGCTGCCCCACCAGTCAACCACATTCTATTTATTCTAACAGAGAGCTCTTTCCTTAGGAACTGAAGGGCTGGTGAGACCAAGGCTTCAGGTCGCTCAGTATTCTGACTGACAACAGTGAGGAAAGAGGTCTTTGTAGATGGCACAAGGAAGCAAGTCACATAGAAACTTAGTATGCTCCAATTACCCGTATAGATAGATCACAGAATCACCAAGGTTGGAAAAGACCCCTAAGATCATCCAGTCCAGCTGTCCATCTACCACCAATATTCCCCCACTAAACCATGTCCCTCAGTGCAACATCTACACATTTATGGAACACTTAACAAGGCGACTCCCCCACCTCCCTGGTTCCAGAGTCTGACCAAATAGAAGGCAATAGAACGGAGTGGGAACTATTTCCAATATCATTCAGCAAGCTGGTTCTTGGTACAGCCATATACATGCTTTTTATCTTTAGCAATGACCTACACACATACACACACAGAGGTCACTGGCAAAAAATAAAAGCACGGGTGGTAGATTAAGCTCAGCAAAAACTTCCACATTTGTTACACATTCTGGGAAACCTGACACAATCAGGCAAAAAGAAATGAAGGTTTTGATCGTGCGAGTACTTATTTATGAATCAGAGAATCATAGAATCACCAAGGTTGGAAAAGACCTAAAAGATCACTCAGTCCAACCGTTCACCTATTCCCAATAGCTCCTACTAAACCATGTCCCTCAACACAACACCAGCCTTTCCTTGAACGCCCCCAGGCTCGGTGACTCCACCACCTCCCTGGGCATCCATTCCAGCACCTGACCACCCTTTCTGAACAGTAACACTTCCTAATGTCCAGCCTGAATCTCCCCTGCCGTAGCTTGAAGCCATTCCCTCTGGTCCTATCACTAATGGCTTGGGTGCAAAGCTTTTCAACATCTACCAAAGATTCCTTTGAGAAGGAATCAGGGGAAGAAGTTGGAAAGGAAAAAATGTATGTCACAGCCTCTACTTCTGCTTGTCTCATGTTTATATCAGTTGCTGTATGCCATTCTGCATGTCCTCAGAGCCTGGTGGTAGTCATGCCCAGAGCTGTGGGTGCCCCATCCCTGGAGGTGCCCCAGCCCACGGGTGGGCCTGAGTTGGTGGAGGCACCCAAAGCTGGGTGTTTTTATGGACAATTCAGTGCTTGAAGACTCCTGGAATCTTCCAAAAGTGTCGTGGTCTAAATTAATGCCCTGCTGTCCGTTCACACACGCATGCACTGGGATACGCACCGCTCATCATCTCCACGTGGGAAGGACACAGTGAGGAGCTACGTGTCCCTGTCACTTCCTGACCCTTGCTAGGCCCAATTTAGGTCTTCACCTTCCTAAACACCTTGAAAAAAAACATCTGTTCCAAGGTAAAAGGAGAGAGGAAGGCTCTGTGCCACCAATGCTCCCATACAGAGCCACCAGGGAGCCAGGGCTGCAGGATTTCCAGCAGATGTGAGCCAAGAGGTGGATGCATCCCAAAAGAACGGAGTGCTGTGGGTCAGCAGAGCTGCAGAACCGGCCCAGAGGGGGTGAGGAACTTCCCCACCCCTACCACCACCCCTAAGGAAAACCACTGCCGTGATGCTGATCTCATGCAGATTGGAATTCCCCAACAAAAAAGGTATTTTTTGTAAGACAGGGCAACTGCTTTGGGTCTCGTTATGACTGATGATGAACGAATTCCTTTGACTCGAAGTTGGTTGCTTAGTGACCGTGAATCATGACCCGATTCGATTTGGCATTAAAAGAGGGAAGATGGTCCCAACCACTCTTACATGCTTAAGACCAATTTCTCAGCACTGAACTAATGCTGCACTGTTTCCCCTGGATCTCCTTCCGTGTAGGAAGAGTAAATATGAATAAAACCACGAGGTAAAAAAAGGAACAGCAGTCACAGAACCACAGTTGTGAAACAAAGCAGCGACGGTTAAGTACTTAGTTGGACAAAAGCAGCAAACTGAAGACATCAATTGGTATTGTAGGATGTATTTATCCTCTAATTGGGGAAAATAATTGAAATCAATACGGAGTTACAATGCATTCAAAATGGAGACAAAACACCAACAAAAACCAAGTGGCGTACGGAAGGAAGGAAAGTTCTAACGGCCTTCGGGTTGTTTTGTAGATGCAGAACTCTACTCCAAAAGCAGCAGGGAGAGGCATTTGCATCACATCACGATGACAAAGCCACTCATCAGCTGAAACAAACACTTGAAAACTTGCAGACTAAGAGAACTTCCCAGAAAGAGGGATGGTGAAAATTGCTGAGCAGCTGACACGAGATCCAGCTGATGCAAAACGACGTGCAATTAATGCCACCGCAAATTGTTGTGAAGAACAGGTAATGAGGAGCACGTCTGATTACACCGAGTCATGGCTGACAGGCGCTGACTGAAGCAGATTGAAGACTTGAATGCCAATGGGGCAAACAAACAGCCCTGCAGGAGGTGCCCCAGAGCCCCCACACCTCACGCTGACCCCTTTCCCACCCCACATCGTGCTCCCAAATAACCTTGTTCTCCTCCAGCCGGACTTTCGCACTTCTCAGTTCTTAATGAACTTCAGAAGGCAATTTCTCCTTGCCTGGATGTTCATCTGCCAGTTCCACTGACCCCAGGTGGATGCCATCTGGCCCTGCTGGTTTGTGTGCCATCAGCTCGCAACTGTTATCTGACCTATTTTGTTCAAACAGACCCATCGAAAGCACAAACAATTCATTCTTACTTGACACGGTTTCATGCCATTTTCCTTGAACTTCTTCAATAAAATTGTGCCACCCTGTTAAACATCAATCCAATCAATTGAGGCTGGAGGTCATCTACTCCCATACCCCTTCCACTGCAGTCTCCCTCCCCTTGGATTAATAGGACAGCCTTCTCGTTAGCACTGTTTCTAACACTTCCTGATAAGATTCAGCCTTTTCCCCAAATCCTTTCTGACTCTTTTCAAAGGTCCTCAGCAGCTCACTCAGAGGGCACTGGCACAGGTTGCCCAAGGAGGCTGTGGATGCCCCATCCCTGCAGGCATTGGAGGCCAGGCTGGATGTGGCTCTGGGCAGCCTGGGCTGCTGGTTGGCGACCTGCACACAGCAGGGGCTTGGAACTGATGCTCACCGTGGTCCTTTTTAACCCAGGCCATTCTATGGCTCTGTGATTCAGCTGTTAGTGGGAGCCTGAGAAAATAAGTGATAAAAGGACGAGCTGGGGTGCAGGATCCCAGACTCAGGGATGCTTCCAAGAGCCAAGCCTAACAGCTGGAGACTGTTCCAGTCTCCACAAGTCGTGCTCCACCTGTAGCCTGTTGTGGGTTAACCCTGGTAGGCAGCTCAGCACCACGCAGCTGCTCACCCACCCCCCCCCAAGGCAGGACTGGGGAGAGAATCAGAAAGGTAAGAAGTGAGAAAACGGACAGATTGAGATAAAGAACTGTTCAAGAGTGTAAAGCAAAAGCTGCAAAGTGTCCAAGCAAAGCAAAAATAGGGAATTCGCTCAATGCTGTGCATCGGCAGCACGTGTCCAGCCACTGCCTGAGCGCTGCGCTCTCCATGCACAGCAGCTGCTTGGGAAGACGAATGACATCCCTTCAAACACCCCTCTTTCTTTGCTCCCAGCTGCTGTTACACCTGACCTAAAGGTCGGCTCTGCATGATTACAGGATAATGTTTACACTACAAATGGAGAGAAGAGATGCTGGGAGGGAAAAGGTGGTGCAGGAAATACCAAACTGAAAGAAGCAATCGCTTATAGAAGCTCTGTGGTGGGGCACCTCCATAACCATCAGCCCTGCTGCAAGAAGACACGTCTCCCTGCCCCAGCTCTGGCTAACAGCTTTTGCAGGAGAAGAGCTCCAGTATGAAACGGCCCCAAAAATGCACAGAGACAAAAGGCAAAGGATTTCACATTGCGCTTTTCAGACCCACTCCAAACAATTTGGCTCACTCTTAACTTTGGCAATCTCAGCAGCCATAAGCAAACACTGTGCTGGACAAATGAGCTGAAGACCGATGGTCCCAGAAGGAAAGCAGATCCATCCTGCTGCTCCAGAGACCCAAAGCAGGCTGCAGGCTGTGCCAGCCACCGCGAGCAGCACCACGAAAGCACCAGGTCACAAAGCCGCCTGACAACAGCCCTGAACTCCACAGGAAGATTAAAAAAGAGGATAGGAAAACAAAAAAAGATCCAACTCACCAACATCGGACTCTTTGTGGGTTTTGATGATTTCAGCCAACTCAAAATTTCCTGCAATTATGGCCACCTGAAATGAGAGGGAGGGAAGAGAGTTGAGCGGCTCCGAACAGCACTGATCCCGTGCTCGCTTGCACAGACTGCACCATATGGACTGACAACAGCTGCTTTCCGTGGGGGATGCAAAGCCAACAATTGTTCTGCCTCAGCTCGCCCAGTCAGTAACCCCAAGGTGAAAAAACTCCCAGCATTGCAGGGAGAGCGTCTGCGGATGGTTGTGCACCAAAAAGGTGGCGAAGAGCTCGCAGATCACCGTTCCCATCTCCTCACAGCTCGGTGGTTGTATGCCTGACACCAGCCAGGAATGACTTGTAGGCACTGATAAGATCACAGAATCATTCAGCCACAAAAGAGCTCTGAGATCCCCAATCCAACCCCAGCCCAGCCCACTGCCCACATCCCCCAGTGCCACATCCCTGTGGTCACTGAACACCCCCAGGGATGGGGGCTCCCCGCTGCCCTGGGCAGCTGTGCAGTGCTGGCTGCTCTTTGCAGCACAGGTTGTTCCCAATTCCAACCTGAAACAACAAAAATCAGAACAATTTTCCAACAGAATATTTTTTGGACCTGGTTCCGAAAACATGAAAGAACCAAATTGAAACTGGAAGGAGAACACGAAAATCCATTGCTGCTCCTCGGAACATTAAGCTCAAAGAACCACTCTGGGCTGCTTGGGTCCTGCATTGTATGGACTGTGCCCCTGCCAGGGCCATCCCCACACCCCTGTGTGAGCTTCAGGTGGATGTTTGAGACCATCCAGCCCATCAGGAAATGCTCGATACATTGCAGGGAAGGGAAGCCATGCAGAGGTACCTGGACAGGCTGCAGAAGTGGGGCCATGTGAACCTAATGATGCTCAATAAGGCCAAGTGTAGGGTGCTGCACCGGGTCGGGGCAATCCCAGCTATTGATGCAGACTGGGGGAAGATCTTGAGAGCAGCCCAGCGGAGAAGAACTTGGGGTCCTGGTGGACCAGAAGCTGGGCACGAGCCGGCAGTGTGCGCTCACAGCCCGGAAGGACAACCATGATCCGGGCTGCATGAAAACGGGGCGGCCAGCAGCGACAGGGAGGTGATCGTCCCCCTCTGCTCGGCTCTTGTGAGGCCCCATCTGCAGCACTGCTGCACCCAGGCCTGGGGAACCCAGCACAGGAAGGATGTGGAGCTCTGGGAGTGGGTCCAGAGGAGGCACTGAGATGAGCAGAGGGCTGCAGCAGCTCTGTGTGAGGAAAAGTTGAGGGAACTGGGATTGATTGGCTTGGAGAAGAGAAGACACCAGAGAGACCTCATGGTGGCCTTCAGTGCTTGAAGGGAGCGGATAAACAGGAGGGGAACGGATGTTTAAAAGGGTGGATAGTGATGGGACAAGGGGAATGGCTTTAAAGTGAGACAGGGGAGGTTTGGGTTGGATGTGAGGAGGAAGTTTTTCATGCAGAGGGCGGTGAGGCACTGGCACAGGTTGCCCAAGGAGGCTGTGGATGCCCCATCCCTGCAGGCATTGGAGGCCAGGCTGGATGTGGCTCTGGGCAGCCTGGGCTCTGGTTGGCGACCTGCACACAGCAGGGGCTTGGAACCAGGTGAGCGCTGTGCTCCTTTGCAACCCAGGCCATTCTATGGCTCTATGGGATGCCAAACCCCCCAGACACCGACGGAGCCGGGTGCAGCTCCAGCTGCTCAGCCCTCCTACAGGAACAGCTTTTGGAAACACGAGGTTCGTTTGCATTTTACCACTAACTTGTGACAAAGGGATATTTTTAATTCGGTGACTCAGTACAGCATGCACACCTCTCTACTATGATCCTTTATCAGCAGAAATAGTCTTACTATCCTCAGCTCAACAATGTTTATGTGATTTATTTCTTTCCCGAGGCCTGGAATTCAGGCTCCAACTCCTCAGCCAGAACTGAACAAGATCAGCGATGGCCAGGAGGAAGGAGACTTTCTGTGCAACCTCAGAACGAGCCCACAGTAACAGAGAAGTGAGTCCAAACTTGCATTCCCCCCAGCCTGTGTTCAACTGCATCCCCCTCTCTCTACACACAGGTGCACAAGGCTTGCTGTCCCAAAGGTCCCATTCTGTAAAGAGGCAACAAAAGCTTTTGTAAAGAAGGACAAATCAAACAAACGTGGGGAGATCCGATAGCTGAGCACCCAGACTGGCAAAAGGCCGGAAAGGAGAGTTTGAAAGAAGCATTTCAGCTTCAGAGTTGTTCAAACAATAACCCATCCCATGCAGGTGACAGCCTTGGAAACGCTGTGGCTTCCAGGAGCGGCGAGAAGCAACGCGCTGAAGGAGGCGTCTGCTACGAATATCAGCTCACATCAATCCCTGAGAAGGGAGAAGAGCTGTTTGCATTTCACAACTCAACTGGGAAACGCAAGGAAGATGAAAGGATTTCCCTTATTGCAGTGTTCCCTCAGCTGGGCCTTTGCAGCACGATGGATCCTAGCGCTGAAACGATCGCCTCCAACAGACAGCGTGGGACACTGCTGGGCACAGCTCTGGGTCCTGAGGCTTTTCTGAGGGCACAGAGATGGGAAATCTGTTTATCATACAATCACAGAGTGGTTTGGGTTGGAAGGGCCCTCTAAAGGCCATCTGGTCCCACTCCCTGCAGTGAGGAGGGACATCCACAGCTCCACCAGCGCTCAGAGCCCCATCCCCTGAGCGTGGCTGTCTGTGGGGATGGGCAGCAGCACCTCTCTGGGCAACCTGTTTGATTGTGTTACCTAAGGATCAGGGCAGTTTCCTCTATCAATCCCATACCCATCCACAGCAGTGCTGCAGGGCCTCACCGGGCTGCCCCTTACAGCCCCTGGCTCAGCCCAGAGCTCCAGGTTACCCGCTCCCACCTGCAGCAGGTTACCCCATGGCCAGGACCTCGGAAGGCTTCAACCTGCAATAGGCATTTTCCATGGGAAGTGCAAATCATAGAACCATAGGATGGCCTGGGTTGAAAAGGACCACGGTGAGCATCAGCTCCAAGCCCCTGCTGTGTGCAGGTCGCCAACCAGCAGCCCAGGCTGCCCAGAGCCACATCCAGCCTGGCCTCCAATGCCTGCAGGGATGGGGCATCCACAGCCTCCTTGGGCAACCTGTGCCAGTGCCTCACCTCCCTCTGGCTCCAAAACTTCCTCCTCATATCCAACCCAAACCTCCCCTGTCTCACTTTAAAGCCATTCCCCCTTGTCCTACCAAAAGAACAACTATCCTGAAGTTCAAAAAGATAATTTACAAAATGAAGCCCCTCCCCTCGTGCAGTGATGACACAATAGTGTATAGAAACACCTTGGGTGCATATACTCACAAGTATGAGCACTGGGGGGGCCAAGGGGTGAGTTAGCCCCGTTTGCTCTTCAGTGTCAGAAAGCATCCACAACAAAGCTGCATTTCCCTCTGCTGAGGAATGGCCAGGTCCTGCAGCACTTGGAGCTGACACAGTCACTGCTGGGGGTACCGCACTGCAAAGCTCCCAAATGCAAGGGAAGGGGTGGGTTGGGAGACAGAGGAGCAGCCAAACCCCAACTAACCCTGAGTCAGTCCCCATCAAATGCTTCTGGCTTGAGGGAAGCCCCCGGGTGACATAAAAGCTGATAGGGAAGTCCATGAAGAGGAAAGAAAAAAAAGGGGAAGGCAAATTTGATTAGAAAGAGTTTAGCTTTATGGTAACAGTAAGTAGAGGCCAGATTGTGCAACTATGAAATGCTGGGTATTATTGTGCACTTTTATAGCTGGAAAAGTACACTCTGCTCATGCTGGAACCTCAGACTTGAGGAAAAAACATCAAAAAATGCTTTCTGAATCAAACCAGTCTCCAAATATGTTATGCTCTGCATTGAAGCACACCACCTTCTTAGAGGCATTCCTCAGCTGCGAGCTGCAACAGTTGGAGAAGTTCAGAACTTTGCTGTTACCATCCTGGGCGTGCAAAACGTGTGCTGACAAAAGCTGGGTGCAAACACAGAGAGAAGGCAGGAGCAGAGCCAGGAGGGAGCAAGTGGAGGTGCAGCAGCGGCAGCTATGGGATAAGATGGGGTGAGAAGGATGCAATTATCAGCCATGCTGCTGGGGCAAGAAGGGAATGGACCTGCAGAAAGGGGAGTCAACGCTTTCGAAAGGGGAGATGACAGCAGGACGAGGGGAAATGGTTTGAAGTTGAAGGAGGGCAGCTGGAGGTTGGATGTCAGGGGGAAGTTGTGTGCTGTGAGAGCAGAGAGGGGCTGGAACAGCTGCCCAGAGAGGCTGCGATGCCCCGTCCATCCCTGGAGGTGTTGGAGGTTGGATGGGGCCCTGGGCAGCCTGGTATAGTATGAAATGCAGAGGTTGGTGGCCCTGCGTGTGGCTGCAGGTCAGAGCTTCACGATCCGTGAGGTCCCTTCCAACCCTGGCCATTCTGTGACTCTGTGAAAGCAGCCCATCAGTTTGGTTGGCTGCAGGCAGCAATTTGGCACTGTAGCACTTAACTCCCCTCAGTCTCTGAGCAGCACTCGCACCCTGCCCAACTTTGCAACGTCAGCCATTTCTACACTGCTTTCTGCAGAACGTCTCCAAAGAGAGGCTTTCCAGCGTTGATGCCTTTCTGTCTCTCACAGATAACGGGGAGCCAAACGTCTTCCTTTTTGATCAGCACAGCTGACAGCACCAGAACACGAATGGGCGCCAGGACTTTGTGCAGAGCTGCCTACCTTCACTCGGCCAGGAGCTGTGAAGCATGTTCTATATTTGTTCTAGATTCCCAGAAGTCTGGCAGTCCTACTGGGTGGCTCCTACCGCTCGCATACGGTGCTTCCATCTGGGCTGCCATATGAGCAGGAACTCCCAACGCGTTCCCAGCAATTGACACGGCACAGATGCAGATAGTCTGCTGCTTCCAGGAGGTGTCGTTGGGGTCAGGAGCTGTATGACTACACCGTAGACCAAACACTGCCTGCAAGCAACAGACAGACCTCCTGTGCCTCCTGTGCATGAGCTGCGCAGCGGATCTGAGATAAACACACCTCCGACGCCCTC